ACCAGCTCCACTGCCCGCACCCAGGGTCCTGGGAACACCCACCCCAGGTGACCTGCTCCAGGAAGCGGTCCTCCGTCTCCAGCCCACAAACTCGGCAAGGCTTCCCCCAGCACAGCCTTCACAGCCCTTTTCCAGGAGTCACACGTCACAGCTGTCACACGTCACTCCTCTGCCAAGTCCGCCAGGGCTGGGAGCTGGTCCGCTGAACTCTGGGGCCACTCATTCACTGCCTGCCGACTCCAGGCGGGGGCTCCTCTGGGCCCACCACATCACCACTGCTAACCCACACTCCTCCCTGCCCCGAAAACACTGAGCAGACCTCCCTCTGCCACCGCGCCACCCAGAGCTTACAGTCAGATCAAGACAGTAATGCAGGCACTCCTCAGAGGCAGGGCGACACTCAGGGTGCCAGGGACCTGCGGAAAAGCAACCAGGAGGGCCCTGCTGCCAGGCTAAAGAGTGCAGTGAACCCCCACTCCCTCCAGTAGAGGACAGGCAGCAGGCAGGGCCCCTGAGAGCCATGGGGACCCACTTGAGGGTTGTGGGCAGGAAGCAGAGTGATCCCATTCTGATTAAGGCACTCACTCTGGTGAAGGCAGACACTAGAAGGAACCAGAGATTCAGCACACAGCTATTAAAAGCCAAAAGGAAGAACCCATCCAAACAGCCATGGAGAGGTGAATGGTCTAACACAACGCACTGCCCCACAGAGGGGCCATCAGACACAAAAAGGAACCACATACTGACCTGTGCTACAACCAGGGCACCCTGAAACCTCACAAGTGAGGTTGGTGGTCTGTGACCCCAGGTGGGAAGTCCCCAGCAGGCCACTCCAGAGCAGGGGAGCAGTCACTTGGGGCTGGAGGGCAGGGCAGTTCCCTTCCGGGTGATGAACACTATGAAATGGACAGGGGCAAAGAGGCCTGGAAATATAAGGCCCCCAATGGCTTCCTTTCTACAGGTGAATGACGTGTGCAAACTGGGTATCAATAAAACTGTTCTGTCCTCCTTTAGGTGGACACAGTGAGGAGGCTGCTGCCATCTTCCAGGTGGTGGGGGCGTGGAGAAAGGCTCAGGCAGAAGGGCCCCAGCAGGCTTCAGCTGGAGCAGGGGGTGGTCCAACCCCACACCGTCACCACACAGGGCACAACGTGGAGCCTTTGGAGTTGGCCTTAATTCCGTCTCTGGCCTGCAATATTAAACAATGCTGTTTCAAGCATGAGAGGGACACTCTAGAGGAACATCAGGGAATATTTCCTGAGGGGAGCAGGCTTGGGAGGAGAGCTTAGAGAGGAGGACGTCCTCTGACCAAGCAAAGACCATCTTGGAAGGGAGTGCTCTGGGGATAAACCTGCTGCGGGCTTCAGCTGGGGGAGCCTTCCAGGAGGAACCCCATGCTCCAGTGACTAGGGAATCGTGCTGAAGACACGATTTAGTGCCTGAGGGAGCACGCGGACACACCGCCTTTCAAGAAGACGGATTTTTATTGCTGTGCTAGAGGACAACCCCTTGGAACCCAGAGTCCATCAAACAGATGGATGGGGCAATGCACAAGGCCCCAAGTTCACCTCCAGGGTCTCTAGGCAAGTCCACATGAATATGAACTCAAGTTCAAACACAAGACTCTTCAAACTCGGACAGACTGGACGGCATGAAGTCAGGCCTGGAGATACCACCTCACAGGACTTGAAAATGCTACAAGAACACTAAAAGTGGGGCGGGTGGGAGCCTCCAGTGTTCATGATGGTCTGTTATTTACACGGAAGTGCTTGTTGCTTGACAATTTAGATAAAAACGTGACTGCCTCTCTGCCTATGCTGCAGATTCGTGGTGTAAGACCACTGGAGCAGCTAATGGAGTCTTCACATCTTGTTAAAGAAGAGGGGCCAACCTCACCAGACGCAGCCCAGCACTGAGGTGCACACTACCCCAAGCACAACCTGCCTGTGTCCCCCGGCACAGGTCAGCTCTGACCAACTCCCCCAGGCCCTTCTGATTCCCCCAAGGAGAAAATAGGAATTTCCTTTTCAGACAGCAGGGTCCCATGGCACGTAGCTTTCCGTTTAACCCACCCCCCCCCCAATGATGAGAGGAAAACAAGATTTATCTCTCCACTTCTGACCGACAAACTACCTGATTCTGAGTCCTTTACACACTTATCTATATAAGAGTAACTGAAAACATTTCAGTGCTAAAGGGCATGAATGAGAGGCCGATGGCAGGCCCTGAAGATCCTACGTAGCGGCTGTGTTTCCAACACGTGGATAATGGGGTCATCCGTTCATTTTACTATCTAGTTCATCATCCTCTGCACGTGCACTTTTAATTGAAACTTAACCTTTATATCTGATACTCCAAGTGGGGGCAGCACACACACAAAAAGAAATCTCTGGAGGTGGTAAGATTTTTTTCTCCAAGTGACTCTAAAAAGGGATCCTACCTTTAATTTCATGTTGAGTTAAAAAAAAAAAAAAAAAAAACTCTGACATACAAGCATTTTCATTCCTACTCCCACATTTTGGCTCCTCCTGAACAAGTTTTGGGATATACAACAGAGGGCCTCTTCAAAGCACATCCTAGTCACCTCCCAGTGTGTACCTCCACCTTTCCCAGGCCAAGCTGCCAATCACTTCGGAGGTCTCCAAGGAGAGAGGGAGGGGAAATGTTAAGTCCACCCAACTCAAGACATAGGTGACCCCTGAAAGATGCAACAGCCAGCCCAGGAGAGACAAGGCGGCCTGATTAGCATGCTGAACCCGGCCTCAGCCCCCTCCCCTCCCTTTTATGAGCCCTTGTTATATAAAATGCCACAAAGAGAACCGGAAAAGCAACAACACTTGCAGTTACAAACACAAGTTCCGATGGCAGGCCAAACCCTGGCTGCTGACCAGATGTTATTTTTAGTCATCTAAAAGAGAAACATTTTTAAAAGGCCAGGGAACAAAAGTTTTCTCGTTTCCTTTCTTTCTTTTTAAACACACACACACACACACACACACACACACACACACACAAAGATGGAGGTGTATGCGTCTTCAGTCGTAGGCATCCTTCCCGAGTTCAAATTTAAAGGCAAAGGCAGCCTGAGCAGGCAGCTTCTGGCCCAGCAGCTCCACCACCTTCAAACAGGATTTTCAAATGTTTCTTTCAGCCTTATCTAAATTCCAGCATGTCGGATAATAAATAGCTACTCATTTACTATCATCATAAAAATTTAAACAGCCTTGAAACAGTTGCTACAATACAGAGGAAATGATCAAACCTAAGCTCCGAAGAGCCACTCCAAATAGTAAAACTATTGCCACGCAGCGCGTACATAAAGACATTGTCGCCGTGAAAGCCGCCGGGTGCCGGGCTCCTGTTTTAAATCTACTCCGAGCATAAGAGTCAACAACTTGCCGTGTTATCCAGTGAAAAGGGGCCTAGTAACCCTCAGCTATTACTCTACAGATTTGGTGGTGCTGGTTTTTTTTTTAAATAAAGTATCGGATTTGATCCTACACAGTGATTAAACATCTTTGTGCTCCGCAGAGAAGGGTCTTCCAACCCCTCCCCCTCCAAAAATGGCATCGAAGCAATCAAAATGGTAATGCCGGGCCTGGGTCCCCTCCCCCCGCGAACTCCCCGACTTCGCCGGGGCCGCGCGCCGGGCCCCCCTCCGGCGGGAATGGAAGCTTCCACTCCCGGACGGGGGCGCGCAGCCGGGGGGTGGGGGGCCGCGGCACCGACAGAAAGGGGTTAATGCCGCGTCCCAACCCCGCCGTCCAGCCGGGCGCCCCCACCGGGCGCGGACCCGCCGGAACAGCCATCTTTCTTTCCGGTCGCCTCCTCGCCCGCACGCCCCCTCCCACCACTTTTCAACTTTAAAGACTCGAAAGGAGCCCCGGGGCCGGAGTTGGCCTCTCCGCCGCGGCGCCCCGCCAACCGCGTCCCCGCCTCTCCCCACTCCCCCCCCCCGCAGGGAAAGCCCCGCCCGGGAGGGGGCGCCCGCGAGGGGGGAGGGGCGCGGGGCCGAGCGGTCCAAGTTTGGCGGCGGCGGTGGCATTCCGAAGGAAGCGCGATCGATGGCCAGGGGGCGCGGCGGCGCGGGGCGGGGGCGGCCGCGGGCGGGCGGAGGGCGCAGAGGAGGGGCGCCCCCGCCCGCCGCCTCGGAGCCCCGGGAGCGCCATTGGCTGCGCCGCTCAAAGTTCTCGGCTCCGCGGCAGGGAAGGGGCGGGGGCGCCGCGCGGGGGCGGGGGAGGGGCGGCGGGGGGCGGGGGCGCGCGGCCGGCCGAGCTCCGGCGGCGGCATCTGTTCGTGGTGCTGAAACCCGGAGCGCTGAGCTCAGCGCAACTAAGTCACAATGGACAACTTTTCCTCCCCCGAGGAGGCCGCGCGGGGGTCTGCCACCGCGCCCCCCACCGCGGGAGCTCCTGGTGGGTCCCCATCTACCCCTAAGGCCCAGAGACCAAAGTTGGAGCAGAACCGGGGGGTCCCGGGGGCGCCTTTCTTTTGTTCCCGGGAGCTGGCGTCAGATTCCAAGAATAAAAAGTGAAGCCGGCGAAGTGGAGGGGAGGGGGCGCCCAGGGAAGGATTTTAAAGCGAGATCTTCCAGGGAAGCCAGGAATTGCTTCCAAGTAGTTTGACGTCCAGGCTCGAATGACCGCCGTCCTCCGCCCCCACTCCCACCCAGTGTGGGGCTGGGGACGCCGAGCCCCGGGAATTTACACGTTCCAAAAACATGTCCACCAACTCAAAATGGACGCCGGGCTGCCGGCGCCTTTGAGGTGCAGCTTGTCTTTTTCGGCCACTGCCGGGGCCTCGCGCTCACCCTCCGTCGCCACGAACTGGCTCTTTCTCCCCAGAAACGAGGGGGCGATAACTTCGAGGGCTGGAGACAGACCCCTGGGGGAGTCTGCGAGTGTGGCGCCTACGCTGGCACTTTTCAGGGTGCTGTCAAAGTGCCCGGCGACCCCTCCCGGGCCCCTCGCCTCAAGTGGGGGACTGGTCCCTTCGCTTACTTGTTTGTCACTGAGCGTTGCGATCCGCGGCTGCCTTTCGTGGAGCTGCTTCTTGAGGTCGCCGTTCTGCGGAAACACGGAGGAGCGGGCTCAGGCCGGCAGGCCGGGGGTCAGGTGCGCCCGGGGCCCCATGGGCCACGGCACCCCGCCGGGCACCCCAAGGGCCAGGACGGCCGCAGCTCGCCCCAAGTTTCCCTGGCCGCGTCCCGCACGCGCGGCGACCGGGCAGTGCCGCGCGGGGCCGCTTACCTGTGGCTGCCGCCTCATCGGGGCAGCTCGCGGGGCGGGGCCACCCGGCGGCGCGCCCCGAGCCGTGCAAGTTTGCAGGCCGGGGTGCGTGTGCGAATGAGTGTGAGTGTGAGTGTGTGCCGGGGGAGGGGGGAGGAACAAAGAGCCAAGTAAACACGGCGAGTCCGTGTCGAGCAAAGCTCATAAATATTCAAGTCGCGTCCTAATCTCCCCAACACACACACGCGCACGCTGCAAAACCGCTCCGGCGCTGGCCGCCACGCCGCCGCTCGCGGACCAACAATCACCAAAACTACTTTTGCGAATAGTGCAGGACTCAGTGGGGGTAGAGGCCGAAGGAAAAGGTTGGAAGGGGGCTGTCCACGCTTCCCCTCCCCGGGACAAGCTCACGAAAGGAACCCCTCCCGGCTACCCCCGTCAGGAGACCCTGCAGCGATTAAGGGAAGATGCCGCGATCCGATGCCAGGAGCCCTCAAGCCTCAAACAGTGCAGGATCGCGCGGGAGGAGGGTGGAGAGGGAACCAAGGAGGGGGCCGAGCCACGCATACCTCCCCTGCCCCAGGACGGGCTCTAGGAAGGGGCCGTTCCCGGCACCCCAGCCAGGGGGACCCTGCGACCAGAGAGAGAAAACTCAGGTCGCGGGCGCCTCCACTCCCCAAACACGCCCCCGTCTCCCACCAGACCCCCCAACCCCCCAACCCCCAGCCACCTACCTGGTGGCGCGCGAGTTCCACGGAGAGCGCCTCGGGCCGGCTCTGCAGCTCCATCCCGGCAACTTGGGTGGCACTTTGCGCTCACTTTGGCCCCCGATCCCGGGAAGTTGTGCGGATCAGCTGGGGGCGCGGATCCGGCGGGGGCGGACCGGGCCTCGAAGGAGGGGGGACCGGAGCCCCCTCCTCCACGGCCGAAAGGGAGGGGGGCGGGCGAGAGGGAAGAAAGGCGGCCGGTCGCCGCGGCACCGAGCCCGCGGCAGCCCCAACTCCTCAGGCTGCGGGGCAAGTTGCGCGGGGTCCCCGGGCTGCCAGCGCGGCCCGGCGCATGGCCCCCCGGCGCCGGGAGCCCCGCGCAGCCCCGCGCGCGCGCCCCGCCGCCGACCGCGCCAGCCGCCCGCCGGCAGGGACTATATTTCCTCCGGCGCGCGCGCCTGGATCTCGCTGGGCCTCGGCAAAGTTGTGCCTCGGCACGATGCTAATTCGGCAGTGCCCGGATGGAGCGGGCCGGGGCGACAGGGGGCGGTGCCGGGGCCCGCCGCCGCCCCGCCCCCGCCCCGCCCGCGCGTGCGCACTTCCTCCCCGCCGCGGCCGGGCGCCCCGAGCGGAGAACAAAAGTGGCCGCCGCCGAGAGCCGCGCAAACTCGCCGGCCGGTAGCTTCGGGCTGCTGGTCCCCGGAATTGCTCGGACCTGGCGCTCAGAAATGGGGCGCCCCGTGATGTCCTTGTCCCCGTCCCCACCCGGGCCCGAGGAAAACGGGGCGCCCCCGCCCCCCTTTGCTGGGGCGCGCAGCCTAACTCCAGGGCTAATGCCACTTTGGCAGGGGAGGGGAGAGGCTCCTTTTCTCTTTTCTTCTCCCCCGCCCCGCACTGCACCTTCTTTCCYCCTTCTCCCTCTGCCCCCGCTCCACCTCCCCGTCCTGTTTCCTCTAAAGTATCTTTCATCGTCTCCCAGGGCCCTGTTCTGCGACTTGGGGGACTAAGTCGGTCCTGTCGCCAGATTCCCCACCGCCTGATGGCCACCGTGTTGTTTAAGCACTGTGAAAATTGATCTCCTGAATGTGCCTTTAATGATTTTTTTACGCTCACAATTAAACTCTCAACAGATGTCCCTGGACTTTTTAAGACAGTTGTTAAAAATCGTAAACATGCCGGGTCAATGTGACATAAAACAATTATAACTAAGCTGCGGAGATCACATTTCAAAACTCCCAGCCCCACAGCCGGAGGTTAATGTCCCTGAGTCAATATTACCACGGTGGAATTACTGTCCTCATAAATGAATGTCGGAATGTTGTGTGCCCCATGGTAGCACACGCGTAAGCTGGGAAAATCCGGAAGAGAAAGGTGCAACAGTATCTCAAAGTAAACGTTGAAACTGGCAAATAGTTTTAACTCTGCACACCTCCTGAGCACAAAAATACCCGGGCGCACAAAATCAGCAATGTCCTTCAACAGAGGGCCCCGCGACCCACATTTCTTCTACTGTCAGCAGAAGTCAGTGGGATTCCGTTTTTCCCCTCACGTGAAGCCCCCATGTTGCTCCTTCCTCTATTAGAACATTGCCACAACTGACCTAGGCTTCGTCCTTCAGTGTGGAAGCCCCTCATTCCCTTAACCCAGCACCTAGACTTCAGTGAGCTTTGTTATCAGATGAAAAACTAGCAAGTGTCCTAAGTGGTTGTGATCCATTTGGTCCAGCACCAAGCAGGAACAAGCAGTTTTCATAAACACAAATCAATAAGGTTAACTGGGGTGGGAGGTGCGGCCTTGGGCCAATGGGGTCAAGGCCCTGGCTCCTCCCACTTTCAGTTTATCACATTCAGGATGCCCCCCATTTACCCACCACCCATTTCCTTGCTACACATTGAACCCCGCTTCTCACACATGCAAGCTAGACCCCAGCCCTGGGGTTTTGCTGGGCTGAACAGCAGCTGGTCAAGTGGACTGCCCTGGGCACCTGTCTTCTGAGGACCAGAGAGAGTACAGGAGAGAAGAGGACCCCTACTGTTATCTCTGTGAATGTCAGTAGCTTTTGGTAAACTCAGCAGATGCTGGGCAAAGGGGAGAGTGGCTTCTAGGGTGGAGACTTTAAAGCATTGTTCGAAAGTTCTGTTAGTGAATTCGGATTTCACTGATAATCATCTATGTGCCCCCCCACACACCCATTACCTATTAGGAAGTAGTCTGAGCAGCGAAGACCATGTTTCTGTGCTGATGGTGGGGATTGGAGTGTGCCGAGGAAAACCCAAACAGAAGTTCTGGGAGCAAACTTGGAGGGAGCCCCACCCTCCTGCTGCAGAGCCATATCTCCCCAAAGGGTCCTGAACTCCAGGCCTCCCTGCCTTCCTCTTGGTTGTGACTGGCTCTGGGACACCTGTCTCCCTGACCCCCTCCTGAAAGTCCTCGTCACCCACTGAGGTTCCATTTCCAATGCCTTTCTACACAGGAAGTCCATATGTCCTCTGGAGGCCCACGGAGCATGGGTGCAGCTGCCTTGTAATAAAGGAATTGCCCCCCACACTGCAGCCACATGATTTAGAGTCCAGCCTGGGGCAGAGCACAGGACAAGTGTGTCACAGGAAGATGCTGAGCAGGGCTGGATGGATAGATGAGTGAGTGAGGTGAATGGATGGATGAATGCGGAGAGATACATCTCGTTTGGGGGATAGTGGGCTGTTGCTCACAGCCCTAAAGGTGAGTGGTCTACTGTGAATCCCAGTATCCACCTTTCCCTCACCTGCACTGTGGTCAAGGGGACAGGGTTAGGGTTTGAGATTTGTGTCCACCCTGAACAGAATGCAACTGTGGGCAAGTTACTCTTGATATGTGAAATGGACTATGGAACCCAGCAGCAGATAATCCCAGATGCACTCACCTCCTCCCTGCCAACCGTAGCCCACCAGCCTGGCCTCTGCACAAGCCTGCTGCGGGGTGCTGCAAGACTTCAGCCCCAGGCCCCTCCTATGGGCCGTGGAGAGGCCAACTGCTCCCCATCTGGCTCAGCAGCGAGGCATCACACTCCAGGGAAGCTTGCCCGAAGTCTCTGTACAAGTTCATGAGCACCGCTCTGGCCTCCGGTGGCCAGCCAAGGTGATACAGAGACCCTTAGTGTGCCATGGAACGGACTCGGGCCACCTAGCAACAGGATTCAGGCAGGATGCTCTTTCTTGGCCACTGGGAGTCCCCAGGCAGCCTGTAAAACACCCACATTCCCAAGCAGTGCAGCAGTCAGCTGTCTCTGAGGAGTGGACCATTGGGTAGGCCGTCTCCTAAACTCTGTTGTCCTTCCTGCTCACTTCCCTGTCCTTGACCTCCCTGCCCTGGGACTGCACCTCAAAACTAGGATTTCTTTCGCCTGTTCTCTATGGAGCAAAGATGGGGAGTAGCCAAGCCATCATGCCATGGGCACCCCTGAGGATTAATGAGATAATAGCTCCAAAGTCCCCGGGACTCCGGGGAAACCCAACATCCTGATGACGTTCTCAGGCTAAAGAATTGGGCTTCAGTTCCTCCCCGCCATGAGAGGTTCCAGCAGGAATCTTGGAAAAAGTGCTTCCAAAGCTACACAGCAAACATTGAATGTGCACTCGGGGTGTGCAAGGCCCTACCCCCAGGGTAAGTGATTCACATTTTGTCGGGTGGATCTGGCCGGGGCAGTCCCAGGGTGGTGGCTAGTGGGAGGTCCAACAGACACTGAGGCCTCTGGAGGATCCTTCAGGAGGTGCTCTATTTGAAATGTGCGAGGGGGAAACAGCAGGGAAAGGGAGGGGAGGCTGATTCTGAGAGGTGGCCTTCGAGGGGCTTGTCGATACGTCATTTCAGCAGAGCCAGGAAACGGTGACTGCCATTCATTCAGAGCCTTGCTTGGTCTTCACAAAACGTTCTCCCTCTCGGGTACCTCGACCCCCCTGAGTTTCAAGTTGTAGGTCTGATACTCCACTTTGCAGGTTGCAAGACTGAGGCTCATGGCATAGATTGCTGGCCAGCTCCCTGGATCAGTCTGAGCTGGATGCACAGACTAAGATAAAAGACATCTGAGCAGCGTATGTTTAGGCTCTTGCACTTGGGGCCTGGATGACTCGAGCAAGTGACCAGATGATGGATTGGTTTACAAAGACAGGAAATTATATTGGTTGAAGAAACAGCAGAAGTAAGGTCCTGAGGTCACCCGTGGCAGGGACCTCTGGGGACCTGCAAAGGGTCATTGCTGTAGAGGAACAGGACAGAAAAATGGTGGGACCAGAAGCCTCAGACCCTGAGGCCTGCAGTGCCGTGGTGGAGGGTTCCATGTGTACCATGAACAGGGGAACTCACCTTGAAGTGGCACCCCCTTTCTCCACAGAAAAGCCCTCTTCACCACGGCTGATTTTAGGTCTGTCAGCAAAAGAGTCTCTGCAGCAGGGTCCAATGTGGGTAAACTTCCTATTTTGTGTCGCCCTGTTTACTTGGCCACTGGCCGAGAAGATACCAGCACTCCAGGTGCTGGACACCCCCTTACTAGTTTTCACAAACGTATCCAGTATAGGACTGTGAAGAAATGTGCAAACCAGGCCTCTGGCCTTGAGCTGGGCTTCACACAGACGTCTACATTTTTAAGATAAGTTACAACTGGGCTCCATGGTAACAGCTGGCAGGGGAGGAAAGAAAGGGGAGAAGAGGCTCTCTCCTTCTCAGGGGTTGTCCTTGAAGAGTTAACATACTCAGAAAAAGAAAGAAAAAGCTGCTTTTATGTGAACTTCTGCAGACTGTGAACTTCTGAGCCCCTCCCCTTACACGCTGGGGATAAAACTCTGAAACTCCCTGAACTCGGGGTTCAAGGGATTGATTGGTTACAGCAAAAGCTGTGCTTCCTGAACCTGGCTGCAGCCAAATAAAACTGTTTCCTGTTTTCTTCGGTGCCCCTGCCTTGTTTGTCCCTACAACAACCTGAGGTTTCTGTACCAGTTTGTGAGCCATGATCAGGTCTCTACTCTCAGATGACCCCGAGGTGATGCAAAGGACTCAGCAGACACTGAGGTGGGACCCAGTGGGGGTAGAGGCAGGCCATGATCCCTGAGGGAGGTGCCTGGCCTGAAGGAGGAGATTAGGTCCCCACCCACCGCCCCAGCACAGAGGAAGTAGGGCTGGGAAGGGGCGTCAAGGTGTCGCACACACCTGAGTGAGTTCCCAGCAGGATGCGGGTCTGCCTCTGCCCAGGGAGCTGCTCACTGAGCACCACCCTC